ATCAGAGGAGCAGGAAGGCTGACGTTTCGGGCCTAGAAGAAGGGTTTTTTGAAGAAGGGTCTAGGCCCGAAACGTCAGCTTTCCAGCTCCTCTGATGCTGCTTGGTCTGCTGTGTTCATCCAGCTCTACACCTTGTTATCTCGTCATTAAAATGTAGTTAGCTTTAAGCTATATGATGATGTATTTTGACTCTATTTTAAATGGCTGTAGATACTCATAAGATTTGTCAAGATTTCATGAGGGCTGCTACTGTCATCCACATTAACAGTTAAATACAATTTATATATTAAAGCACTGGGTAATTTGTGAAAGTTTACTATTACACCAAATAGGAGCTCATTGAATTTGAGGAGTTTGAATTTATCAGTTTGTGCCCTTGATTCATTTTGATTCCATTTCTTCTAAAGAACGTACAGCTGTTATCCCACTGTTGTATATAGCTGTATATGACTCACGCTTTTTTTAAATCAACATGGCTTATACAATAGGTTCGATGGGTGGCACTAACTAAAACAAAGCAACCACACCTTCATTCATTCCCTTTGCCACTGGCTCATCATGTCCACAGTGCTTGCCATCTCCAATGTACACTGTAGCAACTACTTTAAGACTTCTTTGACAGTATCTCCCAAACCCGTGACCTCTGTCAAATAGATTGGCAAAGGCAGCAGGTAAATGGAAATATTAAGTCACACACAATCCCACTTTCAAAAAGTGCTATCCCTTGCTCATCGGTGGGTCATAATCTTGGAAATTCCTCCCCACTAGCAAGACAAATGTGCCTTCCCCAGAAAGACTGCAGGAGTACAAGAAGGAGGCTCAAAATTACCTGCTCCAGGGCACCTAAAATGGGAATAAATGCTTATGTGGCAGCAACATTACATCCTGAGACTGAATTAAGAAAACACAGTATACTCACTGTGGAAATATTTCAGAAATCCAGCGCTAACGCACACATACTTACCTTAGCTTACAATACTCGACTGTGTACCGTGTACCTGGAGGTGAACCAGTTCCTGGTTTCCATGTTGCAAAATGTTTAAAGTTTACAGAATTTAATTTTACATTCTGTGGCGCAGGCAGTTGGCCTAAAACTGAAGAGCAAATATACATTTAGACTTTGTATTTGGAAAGCGAAAAGCAGATTCTCACTGATAACAAATTTCGACATTCTTACTCTTTTGCAGACTGGTTTCACTGATCAAAGAAAAGCATTTCAGAAAAGATATTGTTAAACTTGAGAGGGTGCAGAAAAGACTGCTGGTATTGGAGGGGTTGAGCAGTAGGGACAGGCTGAATAGGCTGGGTCTTTTGCTCCTGGAGCTTCAAAGGCTGAGGGGCGACCTTAGAGAGGTTTATCAAATCATGAGGGTCATGGATAAGGGGAATAGCCAAAGTCTTTTTCACAGGGTAGGGCATTCCAAAACTAGAGGGCACAGGTTTAAGGTGAGACGGGAAAAATTGAAAAGGGACCTAAGGGGCAGCTTTTTCACGCAGAGGGTGGTGCGTGTACGGAACGAGCTGCCAGAGGACGTGGTGGAGGTGGAGACAGTTACAACATTTAAAAGGCGTCTGGATGGGTATATGAATAGGAAGGGTTTAGAGGGATATGGGCCAAATGCTGGCAAATGGGACTAGGTCAGATTAGGATATCTGGTCAGCGCGGACGAGTTGGACCAAAGTGTCTGTTTCTGTGCTGTACAACTCTATGACTCTATTGGCATTCCAGCTGCAGAATTGACTCTGGGTCACCAGGCGCACAGATTAAAAAAGGAAATTTGGTGTTTTCAATCTTGACAAATCAGAAAAGAAGCTTTAGGAAGTGTACAATACAGGATCTTCATTAGGTAGAATATTTAATGAAAAGTGAGAAAAAGACAGAGGTCTGAAGCATCTGGGAGTAGTATGAACATATGCACTGATAGCACCTAGCTCCATCTCACCATCTCTTTCTGACCCATTCACTGACTCCAAATGCCCAGAGTGCTTATCCAACATCTCACTCTGCTTGAACAGAAATTTTCCCATTAAACGTTTAGAGGACTGTAGTTTTAGTGCTCACCACAAACTCCCTACCCTCATCACTGACTCCATCTCTCTCCTTGGCAACAGTCTGAGGCTAAACTAGGTTGCAGGCAATCTTGATATAAGGTTCTTGAATAGATTTGTAGCTCGGGTTGTGGATACTGTGGTTGGTTCGCTTGCCGAGCTGGTTCGTTAGTTCGCAGACGTTTCATTACCCTGCTGGGTAACAGCATCAGTGCAGCCTCCGATGAAGCGCTGTTGTGTTTTCCTGCTTGGTATTTAAACTCTGGGGTCCATTGGAGTTGATTACCTCACTTCCGTTTTTTCTTCGCAGTGGTGTATATACAGGGCCTAATTCTACGTGTTTATTGATGGCCTTCTTGGTGGAGAACCAGGCCTCTAGAAATTCCCGTGCTTGTCTCTGTTTGGCCTGTACTAGGATCCTGAAGTTGTCCCAATCAAACTGGTGGTTCTCCTTATCTGTGTGAATGGAGGCGAGTGAGTATTGGTCATGTCTTTTTGTTGCGAGTTGGTGTTTGTGTATTCTTGTGGCCAGTTTCCTTCCTGTCAGTTCCATGTAATGTTTGTCACAGTCCTTCGTTACCTACACAGTAACCACCCCAACACCCACAAACAGAGTTGCGCAAAAACACTATTTAAACCAGCCACAACACACTACAGCAACCTGGAACTACGTCAAAATGAAGAAGTATACCTCTACCAAGTATTTAAGGACAATGGATACCCGAACAGCTGGGACCGACGATGTCTATCACACAAACAACAACAGGAAGATACATTACGCCCTGACACACTCATTATGTTACTGAACATCAAGAACATATTCGAACTGACCACAAGACTCTTATGGCAATTGGGCATCAGAGTGGCACACAAACCTACTTCAACCCAACGCCAACTGCTAACTCAAACCAAAGACCCCTTACCCACTATGGACAGAACAAACGTGATATACAAGATTCCATGCAAGGACTACGACAAACATTACATTGGACAGACAGGAAGGAAACTGGCCACAAGAATGCACAAACACCAACCAGCAACAAAAAGACACGACCAATACTCACTCATCTTCATTCACATGAATAAGGAGAACCACCAGTTTGATTGGGACAACATCAGGATCCTAGGACAGGCCAAACAGAGACAAGGACGGGAATTTCTTGAGGCCTGGTTCTCCACCAAGAAGGCCATCAACAAACACATAGAATTAGACCCTGTATATACACCACTGCGGGAAAAACGGGAAATGAGGTAATCGACTCCAACGGACATCAGAGTTTAAATACCAGGCGGGAAAACACAACAGCGCTTCGTCGGAGGCTGCACTGATGATGTTACCCAAGAGGGTAATGAAACGTCTGCAAACTAACGAACCAGCTCATAATGAACCAACCACAGAATCTTGACATAATTTTTGACTTCATAATATGATTTCAATTATATTATCACTGACGCAGTTTATTTCCATTTGAATAAACATTGCCGGTCTCAGTCACTGTCTCAATTCATCTACTGCTGAAACTATCATCCCTGCCTTTAGACTTGACTACTCAAACACACTCCTAACTAGCCTTGCTTATTCAACTCTCCATGAGGCTGAAA